CCACGGTCAGTGCGCACTTTAGCAACACTGAAGTACACTCATGAGAGTACCCTCTACTTCTAAATAAAGGCGGTCAAGAACTTTCTTCACGAACGTGTACTCTCTTCTGTTCACTTGTAAAATTACTCTTCAAATTCTGCAGGCATTGGTAGCTTGTTGTCATCAATCTCCTTTTTTGATGATCTCATTTTTTTATATTATAAATTGTTTCATAGATATTTTAGTTGTTGGCTGGAGACTGAAAATAGAAAGCAAACTAGGATGATGGGATTTATTTGGAGATTAAGGAATAAACTATGACTTATCAGCTTGTAGGGTAGAATTTTAGTAACAAGCATGGTCATTAAGCTAACATATCATGTTGAATATTGTTATATTAAATCGAATATTCATGCTAAAATCGATATTTTGAAAGTTCAGGCAACATGAGAAGTTACTTAATTGGCTATATTTTTAATCATAATCTGATTGATCATTAGATTCATCAGCTAACTTCAGGTAACTCAAAATATCTATTCTAAAATCGATGCCCAATAGTAATGAATATATTAAACATCATCAATTAATAATTAATAATTGAAATTACCTCGATTTTTCAAATTTTTAAAAAACCTTTTTGAAAAAAAAACATCTAAAATAATGGAATTTTCTTTTTTTTTAAGTCGTTCAGAAAAGTTAGTTGCATTCATCTTTTAGAATTTTAACTTTTCCTTTTTGTTTCAACTAGAAAAGCTGAGCAAGAAAGTTTGCGAGAAACTATTGTCGTAGTAGAGCTGTTGAAAATTCTTACCACAATGAAGTGAACGATTGAGTAGAGAACATTGTCTAGTCAACATATGCCTTCTCATGAACATTTATTCCATTTTGTGTAATTCATGAGTTGATGCATGGGAAAAAATTCTAGTTATTTTGAATGTGAGAATTCAAATGTGTATTAATAGCACGTAGAAATCAATGGTAGGAAGTGATGTGAGTTTGTATGCTCAATTGGAGCTAAAGTATTTTTGTCATGCATTAGGTACTACACTTGAAGGAAATATTACCTGCTTTTAGGGTGAAGGTTGCTTCAAACTATGATAGTTTCCTATTACCATAATAGTTGTTCAAGACCGTGACGGATTTTAACCATTGATGAATGCAAGTAGATGAGAAGCAGCTGCTTAGGAAAGTGCCGGGAGAAGTTGAGTCCAGTTGACCAACTTCTGCCTCTTTGATTCTCAAATGATCAGGGTCTTATATTTACTACAGAGCTACACAAATATAACTTGACTTGGCAGTTGGAAGAGACCCATTTTAACTAGAACCCTAGAACTAAACGCCCAATTCGGGCTCGAAAGTTCCAAAAATAGGCCCATTTGACTCTCAAAAGATCAGGATCTTAGACTTCACATAGAGCTAAACAAATTTCCTTTTTTGGAATCTTCAAAAGCTTCTATTGTTCTCAGAGCCTGTCTTTGTTAAAGTAAAAAATTTAATCTATTTTTAATAACTAATTTAACATAATTTTCAAAATCTTATTAGGAGCACATCATGGACCCAACTCTGCTATCCTAACAAAATTTGATGCACTCCTGATAGTTAAATAAACAAACCCTTAATGCGGCCAGTCACGGGCCCCATGCAGTATACCTGGCCTAAAGACTCGGTGCAGGTCTAAAGACAGCTGACCAACCTACTTAGTAGGTCAACCCAAGTACCAGTAACATTTAAATATGTGGTCAAGAGTCATCATTTACTCATCATCCTTTTAAATGTGTACCTGACCAAAGTCTAATGCTAATTTCCTACGATCATGATCACCATCATTTGCCCAGGGAAAGTTTCTTAAACTTATAGTCCCTGCAAGAATTAGTAAGACAGACATTAGGCCCATTGATGAATGCAAGTAGATGAGAAGCAGCTGCTTAGGAAAGTGCCGGGAGAAGTTAGTCCAGTTGACTAACTTCTGCCTCATTGACTCCCAAATGATCAGGGTCTTATATTTACTACAGAGCTACACAAATATAACTTGACTTAGCTGTTGAAAGGGACCCATTTTGACTAGAACCCTAGAACTAGACGCCCAATTCGGGCCCAAAAGTTCCAAAAATAGGCCCATTTGACTCTCAAAAGATCAGGATCTTAGACTTCACATAGAGCTGAACAAGTTTCCTTTTTGGAATCTTCAAAAGCTTCTATTATTCTTAGGGCCTGTCTTTGTTAAAGTAAAAAATTTAATCTATTTCTAATGACTAATTAAACATAATTTTCAAAATCTTATTAGGAGCACATCACGGACCCAACTCTGCTACCCTAACAAAATTTGATGCACTCCTGATAGTTAAATAAACAAACCCTTAATGCGGCCAGTCACGGGCCCCATGCAGTATACCTGGCCTAAAGACTCGGTGCAGGTCTAAAAACAGCTGACCAACCTACTTAGTAGGTCAACCCAAGTACCAGCAACATTTAAATATTTGGTCAAGAGTCATCATTTACTCATCATTCTTTTAAATGTGTACCTGACCAAAGTCTAATGCTAATTTCCTACCATCATAATCACCATCATTTGCCCAGGTAAAGTTCCTTAAACTTATAGCCATATTGCAACAAGTCATACCTAAACACAGGTCTTTTCTAATTCAGCTCCCTAAGGGTCAGAGTTTGCCTGGCTGAAATGTATAGGGTACTTTTCTCCCAAATTTATTATTCCAATCATGCTCCACAACTGGACCATCATCGACATACCAACCAATTCTGGTCTATTCATCAGCAATGACTGAATAACAATTTCAGGTCACAAAGTATCTTATACTACCAAGTTAATAGCAATTTAAATTGCTTACCCTGCATTAAAATAAAAAATTCTTTTCATATTTACGAGTATACCATTCTATATCTCCATCATTAGCTTTAATTTCTCATAGCTTATGTACAACCTCCTAAAGATTACTTCTGTTAGAAAAGATCCTAAAAAAAATTCTTATTCAACAAAACAAAAAAAATATGTCACTACAGCAGAGAATATTATCGAATAGCTGTTCTTTCTCATAAAATACTAACACTCATGAATTGAAAGCTCTAAAAGTCGAAAGTTTAAAAGTTCGAGTGAAAAGAAGCTTCCATGAGATTTATAAATTGAACATCTAAAGAACAAATTTCCAATTGCTCTGAAAAAATATTAAGAGAGTATTAATGTTTACTTTCATAAATAACAAACAAAAAATATTAACAAGTATGATTATTAATTGATAACATATTTTCCCTCATTAATACCCACATTTCATTATTAAGCACAGGAGTGTTGAATAATTAAATAATTTTTACGGGGAAATTGCAAAACGGCCAAGTATTTAGAAAAGGTTGCGGCTTCAACATCTTCATAATTCCAAATAGTTTTATTTGGATAAGAACTCTCGAGAGACTCAATTGTACTTCAAAAAGCTTACGGAGTTCCAATTAAATGAATAAGTTAGTTATTAAGCTTCCAGCTTTAATCCATGTGAACATGGAGAAATTGTTTATTACCAGCATCAAAAAATATTAAAAATGTCTTAACTTAATTTATGATGAAAAAATTCTCTTTTTCTCTTACACTGATTTGAAAATATTTATCACTATTAGGAAACGATTAATTAATTTTATAAACCGTTAATAAATATTTTATAATAATAAATAAGCTTTGTTTATGAACTAATATAGAATTGGAGGTTATCCAGGGAAATTATTTTCACGCATGCGCACAAATTATTTCTGAGCTGGTTCGCTCAAATTATTAATTTTCTGTACAGAAAAATCTCTATATAATAATTTCTGATAATTAATAGCTTTAAAAAACTTAAAAAAATATATAATGAGTACATTAAACATAACTTAAAATTAATAACTTCTCGTATAACCTCCAATTTTACTATTCCAGTGTTTCGATTATAATAAACCGGCGTTCGCAACGCCACCTAGCCGTATATTGACTAGAACTATCTTATTCATCAATTCGACTTTGATAACCTAACTTTTTGTCTTATATGTACATTGTTTTTATTTATACAAATTACTTTTTTCCATCCAATCTACTATAAAATATGGATTGTATTGGTTATATTTAATTTCTTAATAGCCAAGAAGATTCATTATTTGTTATAAAATATTTTTTAACCGTTAAGAAACCTTTTTTGCCACTACAAATCTCTTCTATCAGTGCAGTGCAAGTGAAACTTAGCAAAGATAATGACTCGATTAGATCTTATTTCAAATATTAATTTACTAATTTCCACCTAATTAAAATGAAAGCAAAAAAAAAAAGAAATCATTGAATATGTAAATGTCCAGAGTTTAATTCTTCAAGGTTTGTACTCAATAATTCACCGAGCCAATTACTCCTGTCACGGTAAATTGCACAGGCGCATCCCTAGTTTTCGATCACCATTGATGTATACGATTAGAAGCAACTTTTTCTTTCAAAACTCTATAAAAAAGAACTTTCACAATAAAGACGAAATTTCCTCTCTAACTGTATGCTTCATTTTTCTATCCAAAGTTAATAAAAAAAATCAATAACTCATACAATTACCAATTTATTTTTTTAGAATAATAAAGAAGTTATAAAAGGCTTATAAGTTTCTTATTATCAATTTTTAAAGGGCGTGACCGACAGAAAACCGGTCGAATCTGACATGCGCAATGATAAATAGTAGTTGTCCTGGCAACTCGTAGGAATCATGCATTTATCCTGATCTCTGTATCAAATTCTGTGCAGACAGCTTGTCTATTGATATTCAGATTAATAATTTGACGGTGAAATTGAATTTCTCTAGAATCTCAAATGTCATCTTTGACTAGAATATACAATAGAAGTATAACATCTTCGTTTAATGAACTTGTCAACCAACTTATGCAAACCAACACTCTCCAATTTTCAGCACATTTTGTCTTCTATTCATGATCCATACATATATACATATTTGATGCTTGAATACTTCATCTAAAAGCCAATAAATAAAATAAAAATACTTATGTTTCAGGCCTCGTTCTACTCGACTGCACTTAAAACACTGATCTCCGTGTCTACTGTGATACTGCTTGGCCTCATATTTGCTTATCATGCCTTAGAAGTTCAGGTAAGTCAATCAAGCGATACAACCCTCAATCACAAGTCACTTCTTAATCAATAAGAAGGTTTAATAAACATGCCATCAATTATTAAACACTAACAAGCAAGATTTGCTTTCATTTATTCTAGATTGTTGAATCAGAAACCATCACATCTAGGGAGCCATGATTATTCATTTAATATATATCGATTTAATTGGATTACCCAAAATCAGTTTTGTAATCAAACTGCTGGAAAGAGTTTTTTCTAATCCACCTTCTAGAGATTTGAAAAAAGATAATGGAACTTGGGAACCTGCCCCATTAGATGAGAAATCATTTAGCAAGTCCTTCAGGATTAAATACAGGTTCTTTTGATTATTATTTTACTTAGGATTATTTTATTTTAAATATAAATATAAGAATTTATTGCAGTAAAATTTATCACATATCGATTCAGTGATCACTGTATTTTAAAGTAAGTCCAACATTGATAAAAAATGTGGTCTTCTTGCTGACTAGTGAGGGTTATCTTGTAGTCGTTTGGTGGAAATGTATCGGGAAGAGTATCTAAAGATACTAGATTTACGTGACTTCCTCCATAGACACCCTAAAGTTTAAAGAAACCATTAATTACTGAAGAATTTATTAAGTAGAAAAATGGATGTTTTGGTGATTGCTATATTTTTATACCGGAGGAGATGGACACTCTTCTTCATTTATCCCCAATTGTCGGTATATATGTTGACCAAAAATAGGTTCATCGACGGCACTACATGCTTTAACGGTAAAATCAATTCCAGTTGACACAACAAATTCACCCATTGAAGCTCCAATCATCTTGAGAGTTATCTGCATTGAAATAATATTAATTTATAGCTTGTACAGTTAAATTTAATTGTAACAAAATTTCTAAAGTTTATTTTAGATACAAAATTCACCATAGCATCAGCTGGCAAGATTTTGATTAATGTAAAATTGATAAAAAATTCGTTATCTCTGCCTTCATTTTCAATATATACTTCTATATCTTTAAAGTACTCAGGATCAGCTATAGGACACTCGACATCATAACTGACAATACTCAAATCAGCCTGGAAAAAACCATTTTAATATATGATTTAGATGAAAAATTACTTACTGTAATGCTTTAATAGTATGAGTTAGAAAAATTCCATACCTTGGTAGTTTGGAATTGATTAGAAGCAAAAACAATTGCTATTGTAATTAAAAGATTTTTATTCATCATTACTTAAATAAAAGTAGTGATTTTGTCACGTTATAGATGGGTAAAACCCTACCACATTCACTTTGTTTTAGAGAATGAAACTTATCAACATTCGTAGTCATATAAATAACTGATAAATACATTTTCAAGTGCATTCAGTGACGATTTAATAATAGACTTACACTATAATTTTATCATTAAATAGTAAATTAATGTACCAAACTTAATTATTTCTATATAATTATATTGTATCAATATAAAATATGAGGGAAAAGAAGTTCGAAAGCTACATGAGTGCACTTTTATATCAACTATCAAATCATCACAATTACTCCCTGACATTAGACATAGATCTATTGTTTTATATATTTAATTACTATTGTTGTTACTTTGAAACAGATTTCAATGTTTCCTATTTTTTACTTCCTTCTTTCGTCACATTTACTCAATCCAAGTCATTCTTCATCAATTATTTTGGATATGTGGTATTAAAATTTGTTAATAAAATTTATATTCATTTTAATTCTAGACCTGATAATCCAGTGTTGAAGTTCATAGGCTTACTGCAGTCCTAACTCAACTGTCCAAGCTTGTTTCGGTTTTGTTGTAGAACTAATAAAACTTCGACTTAGTCTCTTTGAAAGAATTGCCATCCTTCAGAAGCTACATTTGGAGTTTTTAGGTAGAACATCACCAAAATGTCTTACCATCTCCTTTCTAAAGCTTTCCATAGCATGTGAAACCTCTAGTGTGCTTATAAGGACATAGATTGATTGAATCTATCTTAAAACATCAATGATATATTTTTTATTAACCTTAATAATCACTTCATAATGGTCTATTTAAATAAAGAAAACAATTTTCTATATCTTTTTGATGTAAGAGAGTTCATGAAACATAGATCTATTTTTTATTCCACTTAATCTAGAATATTTCTGTCTGTTAACCAATGTTAAATATAAAAACAGGTGACTGTTCCCACGGTTTATACATCCAGTTTGTTCTCTCTGACTGTATTTGATATATTTTCTGCTTTTAGTGGTCAAGCAGCTTGAAAAAATGAGAATCATTCCATCGTAATGAACATTCATATGATTCAATTTATAAAGTGGCTATTATTTTTTTTTCCTTCTCTCATTCTTGTTCATTCGTATTTCTGAAAAACTACTTCAATTAAATGATATTGGTACTTTTTACTCATTAATATTAATTTTGGTGGTGTAGTGTAGAGTATTATTTATTTTATTCCAATGTGCTTATGTTAGAGTATGCATTACCCTGAAGTTTGATTCTTAAAATAAACTATGATTTGTGTATTTATCAAGTTAGCTCTTTTTCTGATCATAATTCCGAATTTCCATTTGTACTCTTACCCTAAAAGAATAATCATCTATAACAAGTCCCTTTTGTAAAGTCTCTTAAGAAAAAAGTACTCCCTTCTATCACTCCATCATAATTTACATCCCAAAAAAGTAAAATTGTGTAGCTCCCAAACATATAAATATTCAACTTAGTTTTACGAATTTTTAATGGATCCTTCACTAAAATTTAATACATTGCCCTTTTATTTTTATGTGAGTTGAAACAGTAATGTTTCTAATGAAGTCATTTTTCTTTTTGTACACAAGAAACTCAATTACCATAGAACTTTTTACTAAAATATGTTGTAAGGTCTGTTAATCCCTGTTTGGTCTAAATGTTCCCTGAAGTGTTCAACAAAAAAAGTGACACAGAACAACACTAGAATTTTCCTACAAATGCAAACAAAAAACTTCAAAGTATCCAACCTTTTAAAATTAACAGAATCCTATTCTAGCTAGATCCTCAATGTCATGGAAGTTCAACGTGTAATATACTTAAACATACTGTTTGTTTTTCAACTCCAAATTGAATATTCTGGTAGATACTTTATTCTAGCAGCATGTTCTTTTAATGAAGTTTGTGTACATTGTATTTAAGTAATATTGCTAATTCCCTCTGCAAATATCTAAGTTCAGTAATGAATAGATAAATGCTTTAGCTCCTTGGTAGTACCGATAATTAGCACAAATTGGTGATGTTAATTAGCAGCCCAGTCAATGGAGCCAAGCTTCGGTATGAGACTACCCTTCATTGCTCTTTGATAATTAATTATCTTCATTAAATATCCAATTCTTATCGATGAATATGAAATTATTCAAGGAAATAAATCTTGAAATTAATCACTGCTTATCGAACTAACAATAAATTTTAAAAGATCTTTTAGACAGTTGTAAAAGCACAAAATTCCAGATCAATTATTTAGATTTTTATTTAGCAAAAAGATCCATTTTGAGTGATCACCAATTGATGTGAGTGAATGGACATAACTTTGTCTGTAACACAGCTTATTTTAAGCTTATCATCTCATTTCATAAAAATTAATTGCTCGTTATTTTTTTTTAATTCATTATTATCAATGTAACTCGATCATGATGTAGCATTGTGAATTATGTAATTTCACATTGATAATAGGATAACATAATCTCAACCTTTATTTAATATTTCCAACCTTTTTAATAAATTAAATCATGGAATTTTGATGTTTAATGAGAGGTAGTAATTATTAATAAATGTGATTTGAGAGGATTTAATCATTTCATCAAAGTATAAAAGCTTATTTCTCTATCAACAATTTCTTGATATAATAATTTATAAAATGATAAATTTTAAATTCAATATTACTTTTGATCGGGATGTTTTTTTTTACAATTATTCTTTCCAGCCCTAACATCTAATTAGTCACAATAAAGGTTGTCAGTTTTAACAAAACAACCGACTAATTTTCAGACTTTTATGATTGTTATCCTAGAGCTAAGCTAAGACCTACTGGTATGACTGACTAAAACTTATCTATTTATTCTGGTCTTAATGATACTTCTAGTTTCTTCTATTTATATTAATTATTGTAATTATATTATTGCAACTAATTTTAACAATAAGTATTAGAGTAATTAATTTAACTAAAGAATTCAACAGAATCACATTAAGAAGAATAAATAATCAAACAGTAATATTCAGTTACAAAACTATTATTGGATAGACATGTCACAAGAAAAGATTTTCAAGAGAGAATGATTTTTTAAAGAATTGAATGGGAGTTGGTCGAGGGGGTGCTTGGAGATTGAGTAGGATTGTAGGTGTAGAGTGGGTTCTTGATGGAGATGCAAGAGATGAACAGTGGATGAATGATCAGAATTATTTCCTTCATATATCAATTATCACTTTATTTTTGAATAAACTCTTTTGCAGTGCTTTTCGCTGATTCATTTTTAAAAAGTTCTTTTCAACTTTTTTTTTATTTGTGTCTTTATAACTCCACTTGAGAAATCATCAGTACTTTACTCATGATTAAAAATAATTGGATATCATCAATATGTTGATCCTGGTTGTACAGGATTGATTTCTCTATTGTTATTAATACTTTTACTTAGGTAGATAAAGACTAATTACTTTTCTTTTATCAAACTAAGTTGAAGATAATCTTTGATTCCAGCATTGTATAAACAGCAGGACTAAACCTCATACAGAAGTTTCAGTAGCTTGAACAAAAAAAAATTCATTAATTAATGTTTAAATATATGATTTGAATAACTTTTGAGTAAAAGTAGCAAAAAAGATTCATTAAATAGCAGTTCAACATCTAGATGGTGAGATTAAGATGAGTTGCGTCTATTTAGTGTGCATGAATATACTTGAAGGCAAAAAGTTGGAAACAAAAACAACAGGTTTTTTGTCACAGTAAATTATTTTTTTTTTTGTCAAGATAACAAGATAAGCAATACCAACTATAAAAAAAACAATTCATATAATTCTGAATATGTTCGTTTTCTCTCTACATTTTATTAGATTTTAAAAATTTTTTTTATATTCATAAATGTTAACTTTTAAAATGTCCTACGTGTATTCTGACGTATTCATGTACGAGTGTTTTGAATCATTCATCCTTTGCTACTTCTCAATATTCGCCAAGCTGTTCAAATAAAATACGAGTGGAATGTGTGATGAAAATTCTGGCAGATTTTTTTAGAAATGTCAACGTTATTGTCGATGTCTACATATTTTGAAAGCTTCTGAATAACAAAGTTTATTTTTAAGATTAACTTTTTTTTATATTGATAATTTTATTTTCCTTTCAATCTGAATTTAAATAAAAATACTAGTGAATTTTTAATATAAAAAAATATTTGTTGGATATTTTGATGAAAATGAATGAAAATTCTTGAAGGGTTCTCGATTTTTATTATCAAAAATTATTCATGGTAAGATGGAGTATTGGAATTTTAAATAATCCAATGTAAATTCTTTTATAAAAGATGTCTATTCTACCTAGACACGAGACTCAATTAGAAAAAAACATCTATCAAAAACTCTACTGATTGATAGGCAAGCACTTGAAGCAGTCATTAGAAAACAAACTCCTGATTTAAAAAGTTATCATCAAGCCAATATGGACGTATGGTAGCTAGCTTTGAGGCTCAGCATGCATTAGCTCAATTCAAGTAATACAACGATGTCATTCCAAAGCTCTAAGAGTCTTAATAAATTCTACCTGAGTCGTTACAAGTAAAAATATTCACCAGGATCTTGGAATAAGCACTGTCGAAGAAGGAATAGCACTATTCAGTATGAGATTTATCGACAGGCTCAGCTACCACCTGAACAGACTGGTCTCAATGATCCTAGATAGGAGTAATGAAGCACATAGACTTAGAAAAAAATTCAAGCCACTAGACCTACCATAAAGATTTATAGAGTGAAGGTTTGCAGTACTCTAAAGTATTATAAGACCTCCTAATGTTCATAAATAAATCATCACAATCACTACACACTTTAAAGTATCTAGAACTTTCTTCATTTGAATTTTATATCACATCTTCTATTGCAAAGAAAAAAAACCTCAATCATATAAACTACCTATGATAGATGAACGTGATCTAAACAAGCTGTAAATCATCAAACTCTCGAAGGGTTTGATATAAAACGTCAGGCTTTGGAAGATTATTTGAATTTCCGACATAACTTGAGAACCGTCTAATCAATTTCACTTAGAATTTCATCAATTCTAATTGAACTCAGAGTCTATTGATTGATTAATAATTAGAATCAATCGAAACGTTCTTGACACGTCATTAAGATGAAATTTTTCATGTTTATGTAATATTCGCAAGAAATTATTGATGCAATAATTTAAAAACAAAATAGGTAATCGATCAATGATGTTATGATGTTACAATACATGCATGCATGTAAA